ACTAGTGTGCACAAAATTCAAGGCTTCCGTGAGAAGTTAAAGCCGTGGCTTCAACATATAACCACTGGAAATCTGTAAATGTTTACAACCGTGTAGCGCCTCATACGTAATGCTCATTCAAAAATGACTGTCATTTTCAAAACAATTTGTTTATAAAACGCTAGACCCCCGAACGCGAACAAATCGTCCTGAGAATGTGTAACGCATAGGGAACGGTTTAGATTGAGTGGAGTATGTCCTCTGCTTCGATAGCGACCGACATGATTTTGTTTGGAAAGTTGCAACTGCAATCCTCATATATGATCTGGTATGTCTGCGAACTTCACATAAACGACGTTTGCTATTTTATAGTTCTTCCTCATAGCCACGGTGGTCTAGCGGTTAGAACGCTGGCCTTGTAATCCTGGGGTCTCGGGTTCGATTCCCGGCGGTGCCCGAATTTATAACTTGTGTTGGGCAAGGCCGTGGTCTAGGCATCACGGAGTTTTCCTCCGTGGCATCCCAACAATTACTCCATTCACACACAGAAGAAGGCAATGGCAAACCACTTCTGGATCATCTGCCAAGAACGTATATGAACAGGTCCCAGTCCGAGAAGAGAAAAGGATGGAAGGATCCTGTTCATATGGACCTGTCGTCAGACAGAACACTAAATAATAAAAAAAATAGTGTCTCGTTACAATATGCTCTAGCGTACGGTTAGGTCTGACAAAGTTGTCCATTCATAAATGCGATTTATGCAGTTCAGTCGCCGTGAGAGCTTCAAGTCATCAACGATTACAAACTTGGCAGTGGTGTAGATTTTTGACGTAAATACGTCTATAAGGAAGGGTCATTCGGAAAAAAAGTGACCGGAAAATGTGTAAGATGGTTACCTACGAAATATCAACAAATTGTAAATATGGACCGACAACAATGGTCAGCTTGAATGCATTGTTATTTTACCTAGGAAACGTCATCTGTTTACTCGGCATTGTTATGTTACATTACTTTCGTTATTGCGGCAAAAGCTGAGCTGTGAATGGCTTGTAGAAAAAGTGCGTCGTAGACAAGAGAATTTTGTGCTGGTAAAAACGTTTTAGAATATCACAAGTTCTTATCTTTTATAAGAATTATTAAGAAATCTATTGCTGCATTAGTTTGTTGCGTCATACTATGTAGGTAAGAAGCAATGTCTTACTCAAACTTTAATCAATTGTAAAACATGTCTAACGGAAATATTTAGAATAAAGCCAATATATAAACTTCCTTTCCGTATAGACGTATTTACGTCAGATTCTCCGGAACCGTAGTTCCACTGTTAATTATTTTTTTAGGTTATGTTCAAGAAATTGGATGTAGAATTAGCTAAACTGAAGATGGCTGTCTTTTCTGCACGGAACATCTTGATTGGCCCACGTAAACACTGAATTATATTCTTCGATGAAAGGGGATTTTGCCACAAATCCAAAGATTTCTTACGATTATAATAGAAATTATCGTAAAAATAGCAAAGAAACGACTGCTCAGAACTAATAATCGAACACACAAAACAATGAACACAGTATAAAAATAAAAAGTTCGTCTTAAAGTTATACCAGAAACTTGGAACGATATGAAGGCAAGTATATACTAGATCAGGGGTGGCCAACCCAAATGATCTTTCGGGCCACTTTGGAAATGCATTATAACTCCGCGGGCCACATATAAAATTATATATCCCCATATTAGATTTAGATACACTATATATTCGCAAGAATATTATTTTAAAATCAAAGTTAATTTTTTCTCATAATTTCGACAGATAATTTTTGAATATATGGATGCACAAATAATGTATTTTTTTAATACATTGGTTTTCACTACTTTGGCCATTATAAAATAAATATATTTTGTAAAAATGTGATGAATCTCGCGGGCCGGAAAAATGTTCAAGGCGGGCCACATGCGGCCCGCGGGTTGGCCACCCCTGTACTAGATCATCCCTGATTGCCTCTGACGAGCCAGCGAAAAACTTTGCTACTAACGACATCTCTGGCGTATAGTATGTACTTCGTTCTAGTAACTCGACTCTGGGAATACAAAGGGGCCCAAAAAATGTATACACAACATGACGTATAGTCATCCCTTGACGTCTGTATAAATTTAGTATCAAAGATTTATACAGGTTTTTATTTTGTCGAAGTTTGCATACATTTTTTGGGCCCCTCTGTATATCGAAATGAATCAGCGTTTCACTCAACAATTTAAAATATCTTTGTTGATTTCTTGAATTGTTGTAAATAAACAGTTTCTGTTTCCGTAGTTGCACTCAATCGACAAAGCGAAGTGGATATTGAAAGTCACACTAACTTCGTACACGGAAAGAAAGTTCATCGCATTCGAAAACTTCATCTGTCATGTGGAAAGCGATATCAAAGCGCTTTAAACGACCCTTCCTGAGACGGGTAAGTAATGAAGACGACACATTTAGTAGAATTCATGTTTCTCGTAAGCCGTTTGCACATCAGTATTTGTTTTAAACACTAGATTATTTTGCATTCGTATTATTGTTGCTATTTAGTTACACAGTGATGACTAACGCAACTTGGAACTAGGAAATCTGAAATTTTGAATTATGTCCTAGCTACGTATATACAGAACTACCGCAGGTAATTTTGAACTGTTCTTAAGCGACTTATAAAGCATTACAAATCATTTCTACAAACCTAAAGCAGAATTAGTCATCTTCGGTGTAATAAATATTGATTTTCCTAATGACAGTTACCACAAACAGTGTCTCAACTCTGTACTAACATAATTTATCCTCACTTCAGTAGTGAATTTCCCCAAAAGAATTCAGAATTGGTAACGCTTTAAAGACAGTTCAATTAAAGATCATATTTCTGTTTAACCAGTGGTAAGTCGGCCATCTGATCTTGATGCCAACCTTCTAGCCATAAAAAGTACAAAATCAACTTTCAGCGGTCATAATTATAAGGAAAATCTAGACTTACAAATAATAACACTAACTAACTAACTAACTAGATGGCTTAACCAAAGCCCTCCACCGGACCCTGTCCTGATCCAATAAAGTCCAGTCTCCTTCAACTCCTATCTCCCATAGATCCCGCCTGAGATTATCCTCCATCTACGTCTAGGTCTCCCCAGCGGTCTCTTCCCCTCAGGCTTCCCAAATAGTGGACCCAACCAACCAGATGGCTTATGAAACCCGAAGGTTCATCACCGAA